TTCCTTCGCTGTCACGTCTTCAATCCCACAGTTATTGACAAGTTTGCGTAGACGTGTAACAAACTGATCAATTGTTTCGTGGGCATATTGAAATGTTCGCCGAAATTGAAAAATCTCATACTCATATTTTTCTAAAGCTTTCACAATCTTTTTGTAAGTGTCATCATATTCCGGTTCTGTTGGCATAGTCAGTGTTTCTGAGACTTCAAACAAATCTTCTCCTCCCCTGTCTAATAGCATAGCCTTTTTTTGTACTGGGTCTTCAATTTTCCACGCGACACAGCTATTTTCAAATCGAGAGATCCATCTTTTCCATTGTGATGCAAGGGTGCTAGGGTCACCGTGGACATCAAAGGGAGATATTTGAGCGAGCATGAAACTGCCTTGCATCGCCATAATGAAATTCAGATGGTATGTTCAGAGTCAAATTAAGGAGACAAGTATGCCTTTCTATTGCAGAATGTCTCACCGTGTGGTCTTTTCTGGTTCATAGCATGACTATTACAGTAATTCTGTGCACAATAGATTCACAAATCCTCGTCGCCAATGTACTGTGAAATACTTTATTTTTGCTGGAATTTATTTTCGCTGAAAAGACTTTTTGGGTGTTTTGTATAGAATTTATTTTCACTGATTTTTGATGGGTTTAATGTAAAATATAGGGAAAAAGGTATATTCGCTGGATTTTATTTTCACTGAATCATTCCTTCAGCGAAAATAGCGAAAATTAATTCCAAGCGAAAATAAAGTATTCTACAGTAATACTTCATGGTTGCAGACCAGAGAAAGAGACAAGCACACACGCAGCAATCACCAATACCATTAGTACATCCATGCCAATACAGACTAACTTTATTGTCAATGTACATCCTTTATATAAAGAGAGTTACATAACTAACCAGATGGTCAAATACAGGGCAGTTGTAATTATGTATACACATCTATTAAAGCTCATTGACATGCAAATTACTACACAACTTACAGGCTTAGGCCACTGATAAAGAATATTGACAAAGTCTGTTTCAAATTCAGCATGTCTAAAGGCTGTAATATAAGTCCAACTTTATTTAGTTTATTCATTAATGACTTGCTGGAAAAAATAAAATCTGCAAATGGCACCCCCCCTGAACTAAACAGCCAAAAACTAAACTGCATTTTATTTTCTGATGACGTCCTAATATTATCACAGACCCAGGAAGGTATGCAGTGCAGCATAGATGCACTGGCAAAATACAGCAATTCTTGGAAACTATCAGTAAGCCTC